GGTGTTGGGGTTTTGTTTGTTTGGTTAAATACAAGTTAGAATGCTTCACCACACAAATACTGTATGTGGTCAAAAGTTCAGAGTACTGTAGCTTCCAGGCCTTCAAGTTCAGGAACATTCATGATCCAAGCCTTTTCAATTCAGGGCAGTATTCAAGTTCTACCCATATGTCTCAACTTATTAATATTCAACAGGAACAAAAAAAATCCCTAACACATTTATTCAAGTGGCCTGGCTAGAAAGCTTCTTATAGGAATATTCTTGTGCTGTGGATATTTTAATAGAGCTCAACATTTAGTAAATTGTGTCTGAGACCGAATGTCAGCAATTTTGCTGACACCTGACATGGAAATCCTGCTAATTTAATCACTTACTGACTCATCACTCAAAGTAAAAGCTTCTTTTTCTTAGTGCATGTATGCATAAGCACCTCATAAAGCCATCTTATCAAAAAGAACAAAAGCAGATGTGAAAGATCTCTTTCTCCCAAGACAGCCATATAATGAAAAAATAGCTGCTTAAACCTCAGCAATAAATGTTCTCAGGTTTGCATAGACTGCAGGCCACATCTGGCCATAGCGACAGCTGATAACAGAGGAAAAAACGTGCCGTACACAATATAATCAACCCAGTTAGTAAACCTAAGAGCGAAGAGGCCAAAGACAAGAAGGTTTAACACACAGGGATAAATCATCTTCCAAGAGTAACGCAATAAACTTGGTCAAATACTTTGAGTCCACAGACAAAATACTTAGCTTATGTTTTATCATTTTGCCAGTTGTTTATTTAAACAGAAAGCCCAGAACAGATTTTGCTCCTTACAACAGGCGCTAACAATGTGAGATCATTCCAACTGCAGCATTAACATTAAGGACCAAAGTGAAATACTACTTAAAACTGTTCCTACCTGCCCATCTTGACCCACATGAACTTGATGTATCTGCAGGTTTCCCTGTAAAATAAGAACATTGACATTAAACACAACTTGGAATTTAAAAAGCTGCTCCGGCCTGGAAAAGGCCTGTTTCTCATCTCATTATTAAACAACTGCAATATTAAGAAAGTCTATTAATTTAGGAAATTCTGCTGAGGGTTATTTTGGCAATCCAGTTAAAACCCAATGGTCAGCACTTTAACCCCAGAGGATAAACAGACTAAAAAGCAAAGAGGTTTTTCAGCACCAGCATGTTTTGCTTTTTGAACGTTACTGTATAATGAACAGCATTTTTATGCAAAGCATGTTTGTATGGCTTTTGAGGTAAGATTTTTGGTTTTCCTTATCTATGTAAGGGTTTGACTTAAATCTGCAGTTTTATCAAACTAGAATTCGCAGTATGACACTTTTACATACATGGAGTGCTATTTACTATTTGTTGTTATAAAATTATGCCTGTGCTAACAGATTTTTTTGTTTTATCAAAATTCAATACCAAAGACCAACATAGTTCTACTACAAGAATTACATCTAGTACAAAAAATTCTCAATAATGTAAAATATTTTAAAGGAAACTGTGGCTACCAAGTCTAAAAAGGAAAGCAGCATCTTTACAAAATGAGGGGTTTATTCATATGCTCAGCGATGTCTTTTCAAAAGTACACAGATTAAAAAAAACCAGCTTCCCTAACACAGAGTCTTGCAGTGAAATAGCACGTTTCTTCAAGGAAAAAATACCAATTCTTTGATTTGCATGTTTTCTGCATTTTCTCTTACTGGCAGCACTTCCTCTTATTTGAAGCTGTGTACATTGTAATAAATTTAAAACCAGATGTTTTCATCTGTCATGGACAAATGTAGTCCTTAAAAGTCTTACATATGGGAGCTTTGGATGAAGCCAATGGACACCGGCGTGTGCTTGAACCTCAGGATCAATTACAGCCAGTATCTGCTGAGGCGTGGTTTTTTCAGTGGCTCTTTACCCAGGAACTGTTTTCAGCTTTATTGCAGCACACTGTGCAGAAGAGTACTCTACTGCCATAGCACACTACACCCAGAACATTTTGACCCTTTCTTATTTCTCCCTAGGTCTGACAAGGTCTTCAAAGGAGACTGCCTGTAACTCTAATATTTATATATTAGCTACAATAATATTTATTCTACAATAGCTCCCTGTGTTAAGAGTATTCCTCTGCACCAAAAGTCATTTTATGAGATGTGATTTAAGGTACCTGGAAATGGACAAAGCTAACCACAAGCAGATATGCTTAACACCGAGTAAAAAAATTCTACAGGGAAATCATACAGATTAAAACTGTAGTCTGCATTTATGTTTAACCCTATTTTGCTACTGCTTCTTCATGTAAACAAACTAGGTGCTGAACAAAACTAACGGCAGCCTTAGCTGGAGTTTCTACGTTCTTAAATAACCAACGATCATACACTCGCTCAGGTAAATTCAGCTGGTTTAATGGCTTTGCCTGAGTGCAGGAAAAAACAAAAGTCAAAATTGGAGGGTTCAGTACCAGATTCATCCATTTCCACTCTACTGTAATATCTTTATGGAAAAAAAATAGGAAGTGCAAGTAGTGCAGTCCCAGATTACTTGATCAGTGATGAAGGACAAATTCACTTCATCCAGCAATATATCTTCACTAGACCGTGTCTGAAGTGTTCTCCAACTCCTGTTCAGCAGTTCCCACAACTAAAGACCCTGGGTATTCTGAACCCATTCAGTTCATAAACCTACCTAACAACTGCATTTCTCAACAGTGGTGCAAGCACCTAAGCTGGTTTCCTATAATACTCTGTAAGTACTAAATTTCCAACAAAGACCATCAGCCATATACAGCAATTATTAGTGTAACACTCACACAAAGCTGTCTTGGCTTGTCAAGGGAAGGAAAAAAACCCAACCCACAAACCAAAACACAGAGACAGAAATGTCATGTTGCATTTACTGCCATAAAGCACACTGCATCCTGGCTCCACCACACACTCTCACTTCTACTCGCACTGGTCCCTAGTGCATTGTAGCACATCTCAGAGGTTTGGTTGTAGGATCAGGGCCCTAAGTTCCTGCCAACATTTGCTCCACAGGCACCCAAACCTTTGGCTCACCTCACTGTCCTGCGTGATTTGGACTTGTTCGCCTTGAGGAACCTGGGCTATGTGGAGATGGCCCTGTGGGATCCGCAACAAAAAGAAAACACCAAGGAGCATCAGAGGAAAATCAGAAATAGAGTAAGAAGCTATTACCTTGAATTCTATACAGCTTAATGTATGGAAGCAAAATGCTTATCCAGTGAAATCCATTAAAGACAGCTTCCCCCCCCAAAAAAAAACAAACAAACAAACAAACAAAAAACCCACCACAAAAACAACCAATAAAGGGCATCCAAATTTCCCCATCTTTTTCTGCGAAGGATAAGTGGAGGGACTTTGAAGAAAGAACGGTTCATTTTCACATAAAAGAAAATAGGCTTCATAATAAATAACATTTAAGTAGTGCATTTCTCTGTAGACACATTATCTGCATTTTTGACTGATACACAAAGCATGCGACTAACTTGCTTCGGTAGATTAACATCGTGCCCGAAACATTAACCCCATTTAAAGACCTTGGAAACTTAGTTCTTACAACAGATACGCCAAGACTAACTACTCACAAAGAGTGAGGTTTTAAAAGGTATCTGGAAGTGTCCATGTATCTCTGTACAGTGGCGTAGTTCTGGTGAAGCACAGTACCATGCTAAAGTCTCTCTCAAGCTGCTATAAATTGGCATGAACTCATTAATTTGAATGCAGTTATACTGGGTTTTGTTAGCGGAGAATCTGCCCTAACCAGTTTAATAATGGCAATACTTGGTATTGCTGACCATACCCACCACTTCAGAATGGTATCAAGCCTACCATTCGATCAAAACATGGATAAGCGTGGACGGAATTCCTTCTGCATCCTGACTAGCCTGGCAAAGTCTTTGCTACCGTGATTTACCTGAAGGGAGATTGGATTCTAAATAACCTACTTCAGGGTTTATAAGGCTTTGTGTTCATTTTAATATGCCTGCATGAGACAGAGATTAAAGATAATCATTTGGAATTCTGTCAAAGGCTCTTCTTATTTTATAACACAAGAACAATTGCATCTGATTTTCAAAGAAACACAGATCCCTCTATTTCAAACAGTTTCATTTCCTTTGGAAGGAAACTGTCTATTTATAGGGAGAAAAAACATACTGAAAGTATCACTTTGACAATAGGGACTGTATATAAAATTAGAGCACAGCCCAGTCCACGTTGAGATTAGAATCACTTTCCCTCCTTAACATCAAGCTTCTCAGGGCTCCCAGGAAGAAGGACTGAACATTTAAAAGATCCATTTATAGTGTTTTCAAATATAAGCAAATCCTTTCTGACTGAAGGGAGGGGGGAGGAGGTAACTCTATTCACCTCTGTATCATGCAGCATTCCGAAAAATAACTGCTCACTCATCTTTTGCAGATACCCAGCCGGCCTTCAAGGACAGAGCTTTTAGTTTGTTCACAAATTCAACTCAATACTGATGTTTTTTAAAACAGATACTGTATAAATAACTATTACCTTACTAATGACTCTTAGCCTGACCTATCTGTATCATTCCCTAGAACTGAAAAAGAAATACCATTTTCATCTGTTTCAACCTAGGACCAATGTTGGGCAAATTATGACATTTAGAGAGTGGTTGTGGGTCATAGTGGATTTTTCCCAGATTCCACAACCTATTTAAAGGATAGTTGACAGGTCCAGACCTTTTAATGAGGCAAATTTTCATCACTCACATGTACAAACATAACTGCTTTGCCTATTATATCCATGTATTTCATATAATTTTCCCTGCTACTTTGTCTTTGAAGACTTAAAAAATACTTTTCAGTCATCAACTAAATCTCATAAAAAGACCTATACAGCAATTAAGAAGATATGCTCTTGAAAATATATAGGGAAACCAGGAGACAAAGTCACACCATAACACTGTGAAGTTATGGCAAAATTGAAGCAGAAAGGGAATTTCTGCACCTGGTTCCT